CTTTCTCTCGCGAAGGCCCTTCCTTTGTGCCTGTGACCTGTTCCCTGAGCCCACGCGGCCCACGGGCTCACTCCTGTCCCCTCTGTAACTTTCTAAACAAACATGTGGTCGTTTGAGTTCCTGGCTCTGAGTCCTTTCTTTGCCGAACTCAAGAACGGAGGTCTAACTTCGCCGGTGACGACTGGTGGGGGCTGTCTCACCGCCAACGTCGCCCGACCATGGCCGCCCGGGAGCCGTTCCTTTCCCCGGGTCCGCGTCCCTCCTCCGGGGCCGGGCAGGGCGCCACGCCGGCTCTCGGCGTGCTGGGGGGTGGGGGGGAGGGGAGGACGCAAGCATGTCGGGTAGGAGCGGCCACGCCCGTGGAGGACTTCTTGTGAGCGTCTATTTGCGCCAAGACTGATGACAGAAGCTGGGAGCAGGACCTCAACGCTCCTGCGAAGAACAACGCTGCCATTTCCTCTTCCGGTTGGAAATGACAGAGGAAGGTGAGGGAGACCCGGGCATGGGAGAGGCGGCGGGCAGGTTCCAGGTGAGCGAGGCGAGCGCCCTCGGTGTCGCGCTTCCAGGTGGTGGCGCCGGCCCTAGGCGTGTCCCCTGGATGCACAGAAACAATGCGCAGGGCTGGTGCGGGCAGAGGCCTCCGTTAGAGCAGCGGCCGGCCTGGGCGGGATGCCCGCCTCGCCCTGCCCTGCCAGGAGTTTACGCTCAGATCCCCCGTGAGGGGACCTTCCCTGGGGCCCTTTCCTCCTTTACAACCTTCTCAGAGGGGCGTGTGCCCGGCTGGAGTCCCACAGACCCAGGCAGGAGGGACCTGGCACACGGGCGCCTGCTCCCTGTGCAGCCGGCACCCTGCCGGTGGTGGCCCGGCCTGGTGCCGGCTCCGGTGGCTCCTCCGCCCGCCCCGCCTGTATCTGAGCAGCGTCTGCCCGGGTCCCGGGGGAGGAAGGGGCCGGAGGGCAGGGTCACGGGCCCCAGTGAGACGGGCAGCCTCAAAGGGCTCCTCAGACAGTGAGGGAGCTGAGAACGGTGGGCGTCTCGTGTGGGCACCCTCCCCCCGGGACAGCTCAGGGTGCCAGGAGGCAAGGGCTGGGGGAGTGGGGGGATGGGGGCAGGCCTCCTGCAGCAGGGGGCCCTGGCCTCCCGTTGGCGATGGGATGTGGGTCCCACAACAGGAGGCGGTTCCCGGGCCCCGCTCCTCCCCGGGGACAGAGCCCTGAGCGGCCGTGTCATCCAGACCCTGGCCCCGTCCCTCAGGACCGAGTCCCATGCAAACCCCAGACTCAATGATGGGAGAGAAGCAGCGGTCGGCTGCCTCCCGCTCGCCCCCCACTGGGGATGGAGCCCGCAACCCGGGCCTGTGCCCTGACCGGGAATCGCACCGTGACCTCCGGGTTCACAGGTCGCGCTCAGCCCCTGCGCCACCCCTCTTAGCCTCGAGGCACTTCAGGCTGAGACCGTGGTTTGCTTCCCGGGCTGTGAGGGTGTGGGGCCACCTTGTTCCGGGGGCTCCTCGTTTGCTTCATGGAACGCTCCCCACCTTGCTCCTCTCCTGACAGGACAGACGGGCCAGGATTTCCGTCTTCGTGCCCCTCGGGGCGTCAGAGTTCAGTGGCTCGTGGCTCGTGATAGGACGCGTGGGCTAGGGCTCGGGCGGTGAAGGACCTTCCCTCCTGCTCATCTCCTTGTCCATCGTGTGCTGCCTCTCCAAGCGAGGCCAGGCCCGGCGCCCTGCCGATGGCTGGGAGCGGACTGCGGCCTTGGCGGGAACACGGCGTCCCCCAGGGCCTTCGACCGTGACTATCAGGAGGTTGAGGCCAGGACATGGCCGGAGCAGACACATCAAAGCGCCGAAGGCCACCAGCCTGCCGCCGGCCCGGGCTGTTCCTTTCCGGTGTTTGCCACCATGGCGTCGATCGGGCACATCGGGAGCTCTCTGTTGGCACCGGCTCCTCCTGGCTCCGCCAACGCCTGACCGTCAGCAATGCCGCCCTCCAAAGCCCTCGGCAGGAGAGCTGGGCCGAGGTGGCAGAGGCCGGGGCGCTGCCTTCCCGGCGCTGACAGAACCAAGTGCTGAGCAGCGAGGAGGAGGCTCCCATTGCAGATGGAGGGCTGATGGGTCTTGGGAAGCTGCCACCCCGAGGCCCCTGCTCCTCAGAGGAGCCCACATCGGGCTAATCCTCGACCGGCCGCGGGGTGCAGGCCGGCGTGGGAAGCGGCCCTCTCCCGGGGGAGCACCCACAGTCAGGTCCCTTCGTGGGAAAAGAACACAAGTGACTTGTACACACGGGAGTGATGCCCCCCCCCCCTTGTAATCGGGAAACGCACCGTAAACCCCGGGCCTGTCTCCGCCCAGCAGGCGAGGCGAAGAACGAGGACCAGGGAGCAAGGTCCAGGCAACGCCGCCCGCACCGCACCTGCCCAGTGTCACCTCCCCGAGGAAAAGGGCTAGGGTCCAAGTTCACACAGGTGCGCAGGAATGCTGCTCCGTGGACTTCCCTGGCACCTGCACGCGGGCTCCCTCTCGGGAGCCACCCCCTCCCCCCACAGGTACACCACCTGTACCCTCCTCCCTCCCCAGCTCCCAGACCCTTCTTCTGTCCCGTGTTTCCCGAGCCCATTTCTTCTGCCTCCGGAGGGAAAGGAACAGCCACCAAACAGGTGAAGGGTGGTTGCTACAGTTTTGCTCCGAACCACAAAAAGCTAGGAGCGGCTTCCGTGTGGACACAGGGGCCACCAGGTGAGTGACAGGAGGGTCACGGAGACAGTCCTGATCTGCACTTAATCATGCCCAAGGCTGGCCCAGGGCTAGGTTCCACTGAAAAGTGAACAGCAGAAACACGTACAGATGATCCCAGGCATGTGAAACAACGTGTGTGGATGTGTGGCAGCGGCTCCCACATGGCTGAGTGATGTGGGCTGCGGGAGGGGCAGCAAGTAAACAAAGCTGGACCAGGTGCATGTGACTGAGTGGATTCAAATCCCGCGAGAACGTTGTGACCACGCCCTTCCTTTGCCTCGTGGGATCTGCTGTGAAATAAAGACTCGGCTCGCAGGCCGTGGCGCTGTCTCTCCATCAGAGAGGGCCGCGTCCCACCCAGACCCAGCCTTCTTCTCTTGTCTGTCTTTTCTCATCCTTCAGGCTCACCCATGGCCGTGCCGGCCGGCACAGGAGGCAAGCCAGATGTAAACTAGAGCGAGAGACAGCGGATGTGGGATGCCCCTCTGCCCTCCCTGCTGGAGGTCCAGACTCCTGGGCCGGACCAGCCCCCTCGGCCCGGCCCCCTCCCGGCCCCCTCCCGGCCCCGGCCCGGCCCCGCTCATGGTGACTTGCCCTGTGAGTCACTCTTCTCTTCCTATTTCAATTCCGTTCCCTCTCCTGGAGGATGCACACAGAGTGCCCCTCAGGCTCAGCTCAGACGCCGCCCTGTGGGCCCGCCTCCTCCCCGGGCATCTGGGTCCTCGCTGTCCATGGCCCCGCCTGCCCATGGTCCCTCGTGTCACAATGCAGCCACCTGCCCGCTGGCCGCACCCCCACTCATGGGAGCCAGGAGGTCACGGGCAAGGGCGGTGCCTGCTCACAGCTCTAGCGCGGTCCCTTCCCCAGCTCCCCGCACATCATGGCGCCAGCTCCGTGAGCATGAGCGCTATGCGGAGAAGTAAGTCTGAGGGGCTGCCCAGCACCCCCCAGAGGAGCCCCAGGGGGCAGGTGGAGGCCGCACTGCAGGGCGCCGGGTGGAGGCAGCGCCCGCCATGGACGCCGTGGTCGGATGCGGGGCCGGGGGAGCCGGGGGAGCCAGGGTAGAGCCGACCTCAGGCAGAGGTGAGATGGGGCTCCTGACGACGCCCGCTAGGTGGATGGTGTTGGCCTGAGTGATGGGGGGGTGGGGGCTGTGTGAGCCCCTGAATGGGAAGGCGATGGTCAAAGTGCCCGAGGCTGAGAACCTAAAGCCAATGAGAAGAAAACCATGATTTTCAAAAATTACTATTTTCTGTCTTATTTTATTTTATTTTTAATTTTCTCTCTTTTAAAAATATTTTTTTATTGATTTCAGAGAGGAAGGGAGAGGGAGACAGAGATAGAAACATCCATGATGAGAGAGAATCATGGATCGGCTGCCTCCTGCACGCCCCCTACTGGGGATGGAGCCCACAACCCCGGCATGCGCCCTGACCGGGAACTGAACCGTGACCTCCTGGCTCATAGGTCCACGCTCAACCACGGAGCCGCTCCGGCCCGGCCATTACTATTTCCTCTGAGTCAAGGTCATATTGCAGGTAAGTTGAGTTGATGTTGGTTCGGAGTTCAGTTGAGTGCACAGGCCTCCCTCAGGCTCCGAACCCACGGGTGAGCGGATGAGGAGAGAGCCGTGTAATGAATGGACTGTCCACCCAGAGGCCCCGGGGCCCCAAACAGTGACGCTCCCGAGTGGGGGGCCCGTCCTGCTGGCCTCACACGGAGAGAACGGCTCTGGGGCCCGAGGTCCATTGGCAGAGGACGCCACCTGGGGGGCCGCCAGCCCCCGACGGCGCACGCAGGACCTTCCTCACAGGGACCCTGCCAGGCAGTGCTGGCTGAGCCCCGCCCGCCCAGGGGACTGGACGACCCAAGCGGTGGGCTGGGCTGACTCAGGCTGGTCCCATCTGTGTCTTCCTTTCCTAGGGACGTGGCTTTGGGGCGTGGGCGTGGGGTGCTCTTCGCGGGGCTGGAATGAAAAGCAGCCGCGAACACGGGGGTTTCTCACAAGGACACACAGCAGGGCGCCAGGCCACCTCCTCTCCAGGCGGATCCCGGCAGCGCCCGCCAGTCCACCTGCCCGGAGCTGAGGAGGCGGCGCCCGAGGGGACAGATCAGGGGACAGATCGTATCTCCTGTCTTATCACTCGGGGAGCTACCCAGCCGAGGACACCACGCCCCCTCCCCCCTTCCCCGATGTCCCTCAGAGCAGGAGCCAGGGCCACACAAGGTGTCTTTGTAAAAACATGTTTCCTTTAAAATCCGCATTCTTCCTGAAAATGTGGGAGTAGTACATGGGTGTCTACTGTCCAGACCAGGCTGTGCTGAGTCTCCTGAGAGGCGCGCTGCGTGCCGGCGGTGTGTGCATGGGTGTCCACGTGTGTGCGTGTGCGCACATTGGTATTCCTCGGTGCCCACCCTGCGTGTGTCCAGAAACCACCTCGCCATTTCCAGTGGACGTTGAGAAACGCGCTCGCCTAGCCACGCCGAGGGCTCCCCGCCTCCCGGAGAAGCAGCTGCTGAGCCAGGAATTCACAAACAGGCCGGACCGCCTGGGCCAGCGGCTTTCGCAACACTTCCTGGGGCCCTGCTGACGGCAGGAGAGCTCACCCGCACGCGCCGGCCGGCTGGCACTCCGACGGCTCCGGGTTCAGCAGCCACGTGCCGCCACGGGGGCCGGAGGTGAGGGCCACGGCGCGAGGTGACCCCGCAGAGGAGGGACGGCTGGGCTGGGGGTGCCCTGAGCCCCAACACCTGGCCCTGGGCTCCCATCAGCCCGTGACGCTTCCTAGGGTGAGCTGTCTGTCTCCAGGGACGTGTGTCCTTTGTTCCTCAAGACTGAAGTTCACGCTGCACACTGACCGTCTGTGGGCGTGGAGGGTGCGCCGTGTCCCTGCTGGTGCGAGCGCGCTCGTCTATGGTGTGTGACGACTGTCTTCTGGAGCAGGACGCCAGCCCCTGGCTGCAGGACCACGTCTGGAAACGAAGGGGAGGGTAAGGACACGCGCGTGCGCACACGCACACACGCACACACACGCACACACGTGCACACGCACACACACGCACACGGCTGAGCCGGCCTCTGGCTGTGCCGGGCGTGGCTGTGGGTTGCAGCAAAGGTGAATGAGTCACCTGGGCTGCTTCATGGCCTCAGCCAGAACCAAGTTCACCACCTCCCAGCCCAGTGACTATCGCCTCTAGCTCACGGGGGGTGGGGGGGTGGTGAGACTCGGCGCGGCTGACTCCGTGCCCTCGGCCCACGGCGCTCCTGCAGGGACCGCAGCCCGCGAGCCCGCTGATGGTTGACGCCCGTCGGGGGACGATGGACCGGAGCCTGCGGAACGTGCTGGTGGTGGCCCTGGGCTTCCTGCTTCTCTTCACGGCCTACGGCGGCCTCCAGAGCCTGCAGGTGCGCAGCCCACTCGCTCCTCCGGCCTCAGGAATCCAGGTCACAGGCGGGGACCCGGCTTCGCTCCCTGTGAACCTCGCCCCCAGCTCCCCGAGCAGCCGTGGTGTGGGCCTCCCTCCCCGCGCAGCCGGCACACCCTGCCGGTGGGCGCTGACCCTTGGACCCGCAGAGCAGGTCGGGGAGGCGACTGGAGAGGACAGCTTTGCCTCTGGGTGGGTGGTTGACAGGAGGCGTTGGGGGAGGTGCTGGAATGTGTCAGAGTCCATGGGACCCTGGGGGTCAGGGCCGCTTCCAGCAAAGCTGTGACCGTGGACAGCGGGGGCGTCGGTGTGACCTCGGGGCTGCCTCTCCCCCGGGTCCCTCTGAAGGGCCTGGGAGGAGACTGGCTGCTCGGTCCCAGGCAGCTACCCTTCCAGTCTGGTCTTTAACTGAACTGACCTCCGGGGACCCCAAGGCAGGGCACCTCCTCATCCTCCAGGGCTCACGCAGCCCCCACTCCTTCTAGAAAAGTCTCCTGACTCCACGGCCAACCTCAGTGCCCCCCAAGCCCATCACCGACGCTGCTGACACCTGGCAGCTCTGCCACCATCCCTGACCCTCAGCCCTCTCCCCTGGGCCCAGCTCCCTCCTCCTCCTGCCCCACCCCCCGGCCCAGCTGCCCCTTCTGTCCTTGGAGGGTGGGGTGTCAGGGCAGGAGGCCTCTCAGCCACCTCCACCCTGCACTTTCCCTCCGGGGTGTCTAGAAGCAGCTCCCCCCACCCTCCCTCCTTCGGCTGGAGAAGGGCCTCCCCGGGCAGCGGCTGCTGGGGACTCGGGGCTGCAGAGGAGCCGCCCTGGGCCCGGGCTGGCCGCTGAGGGGCCGCTTTGTCCCCACAGAGCAGCCTGTACAGCGACGAGGGCCTGGGCGTGACGGTGCTGAGCACGCTGTACGGTGCCGTGCTGCTGTCCTCCATGCTGCTGCCGCCACTGCTCATCCGGGCGCTGGGCTGCAAGTGGACCATCGTCCTCTCCATGGGCTGCTACGTGGCCTTCTCCCTGGGCAACTTCTACGCCAGCTGGTACCACGGCCGCCCGTCCTGCCCGTCCTGCCCGTCCTGCCCGGGGCGGCGGCACACGCTCCAAATGGCCCCGGCACCCCTGCTCCTGCTCAGAATGAGCTCGGCTTCTGCTCGGCCGTGTCCGGCTCCGCCCCCTCCCGCCTCCCAGTCCCCTCTGCCCCTCCTGCGGCCTGGGTGGGCCTCCCTCGGAGCGGGGACTTTCGGGGCCCAGTGACGACCGAGAATCCAAGCGTCCAGGGCGGTTTCAGGGAGACAGTGTGGAGGGGACCCTCACCCTCCGCGCACAGTGGGCAGCCCCCTGAGCCCACCTGCTCCCTGAAGGAAAGCGACCCCCAGGGACTCTACGCGCCCCCCCCCACCAGGTGCACCCACCAGGCCTCCCTGTGAGGGACCCGCTCGCCACCCAAGCCTCCCCATCAGGAAGGCCTCACAGCCCGTCTTGTTACCACGGAGTTTCCATGCAGCCCATGCACGCAGCCCTCGCTGTCACACGGGAGCTGTGAGGGGCTCCTGGACCCGCCGCTCTTGTTCTTTTGTTTATATTTTTATTGATGTCAGAGAGGAAGGGAGAGAGAGAAACATCCATGATGAGGGAGAACCACGGACCGGCTGCCTCCTGCACGCCCCACACAGGGATGGAGCCTGCAACCCGGGCCTGTGCCCTGAGCGGGAATCGAGCCGTGACCTCCTGGTTCATAGGTCGATGCTCAGCCCCTGAGCCACGCCGGCCGGGCTGGACCCAGCCCTCTTGATTGTAGTCTCGGCTCCTGGCCGTCGCCGTCCACCACAGGGGAGGCCCTGGCCCTGCCTTTCCTCCCCCGAATGCACCTGAGCCAGGAAAGGGCCGGCTCCGCCCGCGTCCCGGGTCTGATGGGTCAGGGGATGGGCCCGCCAGCCCACAGCACAGCCCTGCCCCGGGCCGGCCCGGCTTCCTCCCCGCGGAGGGGAGTGTGGGGGCCGCGGCACCTCACCTCAGTGCTTCCCCGACAGGTACACACTGATCCCCACCTCCATCCTGCTGGGCCTGGGCGCGGCCCCGCTATGGTCGGCTCAGTGCACCTACCTCACCATCGCGGGGAACTCGCACGCAGCGCAGGCGGGAAAGGAGGGCCTGGACGTGGTGAACCACTATTTCGGCATCTTCTTCCTCATTTTCCAGTCGTCGGGCGTGTGGGGCAACCTCATCTCGTCCCTCGTGTTCGGCCAGATGCCCACTCAAGGTGAAAGGGACGGGCTGTGATGACCCTGAGGGTCCCTGGTCCCAGGTGCGCGCGTCCTTACCCGGGACCCGAGCGGGTGACCACGGGAGGCCCTGCAGGCGTGGCTCTCCACCTGCCCCTGCCTCGGCGTCACCTGCTCCCTGGCTCCTCCCGGGCCGTGTGGGTGGCCTGAGGGTGCCCCTTGGTCCTGGCCTCGCCCTCTGGGGGCTGAGAGGCGCTGAGGCTGCCTGTGGAGCCTGGGTCTACGCACTCAGCACTGTCCTCTGAGCCCGAGAACAGTCCGATGCCTTGTTTTCCCACTGAACTGACCCGCTGACCAGCGTGTCACATGCTGAGACCACTGACGCCTCCACCGGTCTGAACATTTGCTGACTGACGTTTTTGTTTCTTTTTTATTATATTTTTTGTTTTGTTTTTAATATATTTTTATTGACTTCAGAGAGGAAGGGAGAGGGAGAGAGAGATAGAAACTCAAGGATGAGAGAGAATCATCGATCGGCTGCCTCCTGCACACCCCACCCTGGGGATGGAGCCCACAACCCGGGCCTGTGCCCTGACCGGGAATCGAACCCTGACCTCCTGGTTCACAGGTCAACACGCAACCACTGAGCCAGCCCGGCCGGGCTGACTGACGGAAGGCCCTGGCCAAACGTGGGTGTAAAGCGTGTACCTGTCTTATGTTGCCCTGGGATGTCCGAGGACATAAGTCTCTGATTCTCACAGGAGACCTTTACTGATGGGGGAGTCCTGACCCCTGACCTCTGGGACCCCTTCCAGCCCCGGCCCTCCAGTCTGCCCGCGTAGGAAGTCCGGCCCTGGGGAAACTATGACACCCGCCTTCCCTCCCCCCGTGCGATGTGATAGCTCCCATTTCACTCTAGCAGATAAGGAAGCTAACGCTCAGAAAAGACACAACATGGCCTGCCGAGGTCCTGGGCTGGCAGAAACGGGTCTGAATGAGGACCAGCCTTCCCGACACCCATTCCCAGACCCATTCTTTCTTCTAATTAATGTGGAAAAGTTGAAACTGTTCATTTATGTCAAAGAGTCATTGCACCAGTAGCCAACATGGATTGCACGTTTGTCCGAACTGGCTTAAGATCAGGCGTGCGGACACGGGCCCCCGGGGAAATGTCCTCGGAGACACTTGGCCACACCGCCTGCTCTGTGACACTGAGCCGTGCTGATGTCTGGCTGGGGGTGGCACTTCCACTCCCCGTGTCCCACATCCCATCAGCTTCCCCGGGTTCTCACGCCCCCGCGCCTCCCCCCCCCCCTCCCCAGGGGCCATCCCCGAGGAGCAGCTCCTGTCCTGCGGGGCCAACGACTGCCTGATGGCCACGGCGCCCGGCAACAGCACCCAGCGCCCGTCCCAGGAGCTGATCTACACGCTGCTGGGCATCTACACAGGTGTGTGGGGCACGGAGCGTGTCTCCTGGGGTTTGATTCCTGCCTTTCTTGCCGGGGCTTATAAGTCTCTCTCCTCTACGGGAGGCCGCGTTCCCATAGAGACAAAAAACAGGAAAGGGGGAGAATGGGCCGAAGGGCAGAGAGCACGGCCTCCCCGAGCGACTTCCCAGGGCGGCTGGCCTCAGCCTCATCGCGAGGTTCTTCCGAGCGCAGTCTATTCCGTGTGCGACGCCCGCAATCCCCCGGTCACACCTCTTGAGAAGGTCCTGGGTCTCAGGGCAGCTCTGGACTCACCCGTACCTCCTAGGAAACACGCAGCTTCTTCACCCGTGACCCCCTCTCACAGGCCCCTGATGGGGCTTTGGGGGCAGTGTCCTAAAGGGGGTGGGGTCCTAGCGGGTGGGGGAGTGTCCTAGAGAGAGGAGTGTCCTAGCGGGAGGGCAGTGTCCTGAGGGGGAAATGTCCTAGAGGGAGGAGTGTCCTAGCAGGGCGGGAGTGTCCTAGTGGAGGGGGAGCAGTGTCCTAGAGGGGGGGCAGTGTCTGGGGGGGGCAGTGTCCTAGCGGGTGGGGGAGTGTCCTGGGGGGGCAGTGTCCTGGGGGGGCAGTGTCCTAGCAGGGGCTTAAAACCCATGGGGACCGTGGGGAAGGGACTCTGGCCACCTAGTGGGCAATGGACACGCCTTCCCCAGGACGGCACACGGCAGGTAGGGGTGGTTGGGAGGGCTTCACAGTTGACATTGCCAGAGTGCCCTGCGCCAGGCGTGGTGACCACTGTGTGTAGGAACCAAGGTGACAGGAGACCTGAGTGAGTCAGCTGTGGTCTGCAGGTCCCACCTGCAGTTGGGATTTGAGGTAGACTGTCACCTCCAGGGAGGAGGAAGGGACAGTGGAGCTGTGTCTGTGGCCCCCTATGGCCCATTGCTCCTGGTCCCATGGCTCCTGGTCCCGTGGCTCCTGTCTCCCACGGTTCCTGTGTCCCATGGCTCCCGGTCCCGTGGCTCCCAGTCCTGTGGCTCCCAGTCCCATGGCTCCTGTGTCCTGTGGCTCCTGGTCCCAGACCAGTAGCAGCTGCTGTGCTTCCCTTTCAGGGAGCGGCGTCCTGGCCATCCTGCTGGTCGCGCTCTTTCTCGACCCCATCAGAGAGGCTCCGGACAAAACTGAAGGCGAGACGCCATCTGTTCTGTCCACTTTGCTGTCGACATTCAAGCTTTTCAGAGACAAACGCCTGCGTCTCCTCATGCTGCTGCCCATGTACAGCGGGTTCGAACAGGCCTTCCTGGCAGGCGACTACACGAGGGTAGGGCCTGGAGGGTGGTGACCAAGGGTAGGGCCTGGCGTGTGGTGATGGAGGGTAGGGCCTGCAGGTGGTGACTGAGGGTAGGGCCTGGCGTGTGGTGATGGAGGGTAGGGCCTGGCAGGTGGTGATGGAGGGTAGGGCCTGGTGGGTGGTGACTGAGGGTAGGGCCTGGCGGGTGGTGACTGAGGGTAGGGCCTGGCGGGTGGTGATGGAGGGTAGGGCCTGGTGGGTGGTGACTGAGGGTAGGGCCCTGGCGGGTGGTGATGGAGGGTAGGGCCTGTTGGGTGGTGGTGATGGAGGGTAGGGCCTGGCGGGTGGTGACCTGAGGGTAGGGCCTGGTGGGTGGTGAGGGGTGGTAGGGCCTGGGGGGGGGACTGAGGGTAGGGCCTGGCGGGGTGGTGACTGAGGGTAGGGCCTGGCGGGGTGTGATGGAGGGGTAGGGCCTGGTGGGTTGTGATGAGGGTAGGGCCTGGTGTGTGGTGATGGAGGGGTAGGGCCCTGGTGGGTGGTGACTGAGGGTAGGGCCTGGGGGTGGGTGATGGAGGGTAGGGCCTGGACGGGTGTTGATGGAGGGTAGGGGCTTCAGGTGGTGACTGAGGGTAGGGCCTGCGGTGGTGGGATGGAGGGTAGGGCCTGGCGGGTGGGTGACCTGAGGGTATGGGGGCCTGGTGGGTGGTGATGGAGGGTAGGGCCTGGTGGGTGGTGACTGAGGGTAGGGCCTGGCGGGTGGTGATGGAGGATAGGGCCTGGCCAGTGGCTGCATGAGGGAAGGCGGTAGGCAGGTATATAACTTGCTAAGTGACCCTCCCCCGATAGGTAGCACTACTTTTAGAGCAGTGTTAGGTGGAACGCACAGAAATTTCCCACATGCCCTGCCCCCACACCACAGCCCCACCAGCGGGTACGCGTGCTGCCACCTGTGACTCTGCACCCACATGTCCGTCACCCATGTCTGGAGTTGAGACACGGGTCCCTCTTGGCGCTGGGCATCCTGTGGGTGTGGACGAATGTGCAATAACATGGACCCCATGGTGGTGTCACACAGAACGTTTCGCTGCCCAAACCCTCTGTGCTCCCTGGTCACCCCTCCCTCCACCTTTCCCACCTGCCTCCTGGGCCGAGTAGGCAATGACCAGCCCACCAGGAACGGCTCCCATGCACCCGGCACATGCTGAGCAGGCAAAGGCGTCCGGACATCTGTCCACACCATTAGAACAGGTCTCTCACAGGCCCAGCTCCGGGCTAGCACTGGATGGGCCGGACAGAGGCCCCCGCCAGGTCGGAGGGACAGGCCGCAGCCAGGTCGGAGGGACAGGCCGCAGCCAGTCCAGCAGGACTGGCGGCAGGACAGGCGGCAGGACAGGCGGCAGCAGAACCGCCCACTCCCGCCGCCAAGCCCGGCCGGCAGAGCGTGACGGTCCGTGTCCCCACAGTCCTACACCACCTGTGCCCTCGGCATCCACTTCGTGGGCTACGTGATGATCTGCTTCTCGGCCACCAACGCGCTGTGCTCCGAGCTCTACGGGAAGCTGGCGCAGTACACGGGCCGGGCCCCGCTCTACGCCCTGGGTAGGTGGACGCGCCCAGCTCCCCCAGGAGCACACACCCCCCCCCCACGCACCTGTCCCAGGGGCGGCACAGCGGTGTGAGCAGGGGCCCCCGGGGGGCAGTGTGACGGGGCAGCGGCGGGGGCAGCAGGGGTCACGCAGCCCGTGAAGGTGCCGTGACCCGTCCTCGGCCGTGGCTGAGGCGGGAGTAGGAGAGGGTTCTGAGGGCCGTGACCTGGGCCACCTGGTGCATGAAGGCTGAGTGTGAAGCGCCGGACTCCACGCCAAGCACACGCCACCTGCTCCCTTTCGGGAAGGACAGAGAACGCGGGGATGAGAAATCGGGGCCTCACACAGTTACCTGGGCGGGGCCTCGGGGGTCTGTCAGCAGAGGGGACTGGGGCCGAGGAATTTGCGTCTCCCTCTCTTTTCCATCCTCCATCGCCCTGTGGGGTGACCCTGCCCACTTGGCAGATGAGCAAACTGAGGAACAGAGAGGGGTGGTGACTGCCCAGGTCACACAGCCTCAGGGACCCCTGTGTCGGCAGCTTCTGGAGGCCCTGAGCTGCCCTGTGGCTACATTCTGAGGACACAGTGTCTGCAGAAACCCAGCCCATTGGGGCAAAGTCAGGGGGACTGGCCCAGGCGGTGGTGCTGGCCTCTCCTGCTGTCCCCGCCCCAGCTCCCTTCCCCGAACGAAGAAGCCCTCCTCTCTCACTTCTGAACCCCCATAATGTGGGGCTCCTCCGCCCAGGCAAGACAGGGTTTCCCTCTGTGACCCCCCCGCAGAGCAGCGATCAGACCCTGTCAACATCAAATCCACCTGCAGGAGGCGACCTGGAGCATTTTTGTTTTTCTTCAAAATATATTTATTGATGTCAGAGAGGAAAGGAGAGGGAGAGACAGATGGAAACACTAATGATGAGAGAGAATCATGGACCGGCTGCCTCCTGCACACCCCCCACTGGGGATCGAGCCCACAACCCGGGCCTGTGCCCGGACCAGGAATCGGACCTTGACCTCCTGGTTCATAGGTCGACGCTCAGCCCCTGAGTCCCGCCCGTCGGCCGGGCCCGTCTGGATTGTCTTCAGGAAACACTATTCACACCACGAAGCGATGACCAGGAAAAGATCCCTCACTGTGAGCTCGCGGACACGCTCGCCTGTGGGCGTGGCCTCACCCGTGCGCCCCTCCCCGCCCGCAGGTGCGGCCACCCACCTGTCCTGCATCATCGCCCTCCTGCTGTGGAGGCCGCACCCCGACCAGCTGCCCGTGTTCTTCGTGTTCTCCGGCCTCTGGGGCGCGGCCGACGCCGTCTGGCAGACGCAGAACAACGGTGAGTGCGCAGCACGGAGCCCCTGCTCAGGACCCCCACCCGCTGCCGTGGGGCTGGTGGGGCAGGACCCGCCGCCCTGACTGCCGTGTCCGAGGTGCCTGTGGGTGGCTGGCTGGCCCGTCTTCCTCAGTGAGATGAGCCATAGAGGAGAGGGTGTGGGGGAGCCACCAGGAGAGAGGGACACAGGGTGAGGGGGGCCACACCCGGAAGGCGGGGGGCGGCGGGCTGCCTGTGGCTGAGAATGAGGGATGAGGATGGGCGCCGTAGCCCTGAGCTCCCACAGGCCCATCTGTGGCCCGTGAGGGGGTGTCGGGCCCCCCTATAGCAGGCCGCCACCCGTGCCCTGGCATCTGCAGCCGGGCCCGCCGCCCAGGCCCTGGGAGTGGCTCTGGGTGGAGGGGAGCCGCCTGCCGCACCGCCGTCACATCAGCCTCAGTCGGGAAACACCTGGGACAGAGACTGGGGGGCTGGTCCCCCCAAGCCCTGAGCCTGCCGTGCCCGGCGGTGCCTGCACAGAGCCGGCGCCCGTGGCCTCACGAGTCCTGGTCTCAGGTGGCCCCTCCCAGCAGCTGAGAAAACATCTTCAGACAAACCTGGCGTGGGTGGGTCTCCAGGCGTGGTTTCCACGTCGTTCCTGCTGCTTTGGGAGCGGTGGCGTTCGAGGCCTCGGGGCTGTCACCTGGAGGGTCTGGGCCGAGGCCCACACCGGGAGGAAGGGCTGATGCCTCACAGGCCAGGCGTCGGCCATGCTCAGCAGCAGAAGCGGAACTCACTGGCTCTCCTTGGCATCGGCGTGTAAACCACGCCTGGCCACGCCACCTGCGGGGATCCACACCCCCTGCCCCGGGAGCAGAGGGGGCGTGTCTGTCAGCATCGCCGGGCGGGGGTGGGGGGGGCACCCGGTGTTCCACTGGGCCCTCCGCAGGCAGACGCCACCTCACTCTCTGAAATGCTAGCTGACGGTCTGAATTCACCTGGATTTCATTTTATTTTAAATGTTTTTTAATTGACTTTAGAGAGGAAGGGAGAGGGAGAGCAGGATAGAAACATCAATGATGAGAGCGAATCAGGGATCGGCTGCCTCCTGCACGCCCCACATTGGGGATCGAGCCCACAACCCGGGCCTGTGCCCTGGTCCGGAATCGAACCTCCTGGTTCATAGGTCGATGCTCAGCCACTGAGCCACACCAGCCGGGCAGTTCACCTGGATTTTAAAAGTATTTACACACACAGGCCGGGTACGGGAACGGGGTGAGAAACCACACGCTCTCTACAGCCACGCCCAGCCCCACGCGACGGCGGCAGGAGGGCTCGGTCTCCTCCTCCCGGAGGCAGGGCCGCGGCTTTCACGCCTCTCATCAGGGACCAGGAGCCTTTGTGGAGAAGTTGGTCCGTGCGTCTGTCTCACAGGCGACGGGAGGCTCGAGGAGTGACGGGCGGGCAAAGGCTCGGAGAAGGCGCGCATCGAAAGCAGTCATCCCGTCTCTTGTGCAGAAAAACGGCGGCTTTTCTTGGGAAGCTCAGTGGTGGGGAAGCGGTTACTCATTTGAGATTTCCTGGGGCGGCCGGTCTGCGCGGGCGCGAGGCTGCCCAGCCCCCGGGGGCCGCGGGCACTGGGCCGTCCGCACGTGCTCGGCGCGGCTCTGCCACCTGCCAAGAGCTGCTCTCGGTTTTGGTTTCTTGGATTTTTCTTTCTAAACAGCAAATTGGGCCCCGACACGGCCCTCGCCGCAGGCGCGTCTCTGTGAGAGCAGCGTGGGCCACGCCCCAGTGAGCGACAGGGGTGCCGCCCCGCCCGTCCGTCGTCCGGTCCCCACGTGACCTGACCCCCAGCTTCCCGCAGGCTCAGCAGCTCGGAGGCCGGAGCCCCACCGGCCGCTGGGTGTTTGCCGCGGGGCGGCCCCGGCCTCTGCCCCCGCGTGGAGCTGGGCCCTGGCTCCTGCCTGTTTATTCGCGGCGACAGCGTGTGAGAGACACGGGTGCTGTTGCCATAGCAACCCTCACATGCCAATGCGCCGCCTTTCAGATGCAGAAGGTCTGGTCTAAGAATACTCCCGCGGCCTGGCAGCCACCATAGGGGCTGCTTTCTGGCAGACAGACTGGGGAACCTGACCTTCTCCCGCCCCATCCCCGTCCCCCACTCCCAGTGAGACGCTGCCCACCATCCCCGTCCCTGTCCCCGTCCCCCCACTCCCAGTGAGACGCTGCCCACCATCCCCGTCCCTGTCCCCGTCCCCCCACTCCCAGTGAGACGCTGGCCACCATCCCCGTCCCCGTCCCTGTCTCTGTCCCCGTCACCCCCGCCCAGTGAGACGCTGCCCACCATCCCCGTCCCTGTCCCTGTCCCTGTCCCCCCCTCCCAGTGAGACGCTGCCCACCATCCCCGTCCCTGTCCCCATCGCCCCCTCCCAGTGAGACGCTGCCCACCATCCCCGTCCCTGTCCCTCCCTCCCAGTGAGACGCTGGCCACCATCCCCGTCCCCGTCCCCGTCCCTGTCCCCGTCCCCCCCTCCCAGTGAGATGCTACCCACCGCCCTGGTCTCGGCCTCCCCTCGCTGGTCTAGCCTCCTTCTCCAAGGACGGGGTCAGCGTCAGCACTGCCCCCCACATCCCCCCCCCGTCTGCCCTGGGAGGAGGGGGCCACAGGGCAGGCTGAGAGCAGCCTTTCTTTTTAGGTAACTTTTTATTTTTTATATGTTTTTATTGACTTTAGAGCAGTGGTTCTCAACCTGTGGGTCGCGACCTCTTTGGGGGTCGAATGACCCTTTCACAGGGGTCGCCTAAGACCATCGGAAAACACATCTATAATTACATATTGTTTTGTGATTAATCACTGAGCTTTAATGACGTTCCATTTGTAACAATGAAATTGGGGGTCACCACAGCATGAGGAGCTGTATTAAAGGGTCACGGCATCAGGAAGGTTGGGAACTACTTCTTTAGGAAGAGGAAGGGAGAGGGAGAGAGAGAGAGAAACATCCCTGATGAGAGAGAATCACTGATCGGCTGCCTCCTGCACGCCCCGCACTGGGGATGGAGCCCGCCACCCAGGCTGTGCCCTGACCGGGAATCGAACTGTGACCTCCTGGGTCCTAGGCCGACGCTCACCACTGAGCCGCGCCGGCCGGGCAGGTGTCCTGTTCTGTTAAACAGAGAAGGTCCTGACGGCTGAGCGCTGGGCAGTGGGCACGGGGTGCCGCCCCAGGCGCAGCGGCCGGCGGCTGGGCTCCGGCACCGAGACCCCTCTCCCCGCAGTCCTCTTCGGCGTCCTGTTCGCCGAGCACAAGGAGGCCGCCTTCGCCCACTACCGCCTGTGGGAGGCCCTGGGCTTCGTGGTCGCCTTCGGCTACAGCACGTTCCTGTGCGTCCGCGTCAAGCTCTACATCCTGCTGGCCGTGCTGAGCGCCGCCATGATGTCCTACGTGGCCGTCGAGGTCATGGAGTCCAGGACCCTGCCCGGGCCCCCGGCCGCGGTGACGCCAGCCGAG